ATTTTTTTTGGGATATTTTAAATCTCCCACTTCGATATGTACCAAGTTCCAATCCCTTTATATTGAGACTTAAAAGTTCTCCCATTTTTTAGATGCCATCGCTGAATAGAAATGAGAAAGTGAAATGCGAGGGTTGTGGTCAAGAGTACAGGAGGGCCGATGCGGCTCGACATCGCAAGAGTTGTGTGCGAGGAGTTATTTCTTGTCCGGAATGTAGTTATTGTACATACAACCAGCAAGAAATGAATTTCCATACGAGCAAGAAGCACGTAAAGTCAAACCCAAAGTCAACAAAGTGTGTATCGTGTGAGAAAGAATTTGCAAGCTATTATTCACTTCAACAGCATCGCAAGAATGATCACGGAATGAAAGCTAGAAAAACGAGTGATTCTGTTGCTGATTTGAATAAAATCTTGGAAAACGAGGAGGATAGTGATCAGCTACGAGATGAGTTGAATGCCTGTCAACACTTCTTGACAGATACTGAGATGGAAAATGGACGCCACAAAGTATTCAATTTTCATTTTTCAAAACTAGATCCTAATCTAGTTAATGAAAAACTGGATCAAGTCTTTGAAAAACTTGATTGTGCAGCAAAAATCAACATTGCCTTGGGATTTGTGTTACGTAATATAAAAACAAGCGAATATCGTTTTTTCTACGCTCATGAAAATAACACACTCTTTGATAAATCTGTACTACTTTGTACTAAAGCAGACTTGACAACTATACAGAACAAGGTCAATAAGCAAGATATCATTGAAATTTGTACACAAGAGAGACATAATACGAAATGACGATTCAAGCTGATCACTAATATGACCATTTTTGCAGCCTTACTGAAAAACGTACCTATGGGATGTCCAGGTTCTGTGATTCCCGAACCAATTCTGAGGATTAAACATGTTAATTGTTTGATTTCGAATCAAGACACAAAACAACCATACAATGACAATTTGTGTTTGTTTCGAGCGTTTGCAGTTCATTTACATGGAACAACTGGTCTTGAAATATCCACTTCCAAGATCTTTAACGATTTTCTGGAAAAATCGGGTTGTGATCCGAAACAGTTCGTGGAGTTTCGATGGATAATCTACCAGTAGTTGAAGATGTAGTAGCGAAAAACATCTTTATCTACGATATCGACATTCAAGATGGAGATTTTGTAGGAGAATTAGCTCGGAGAAGTATCGGTAAATACCAGAACACATTGAAACTTCTACGTTACTACAACCACATTATTTACGTCAACATCGACAACTTCTTCAAATGCTTCCGATGCCCAACAAAGCAGACCACTTCAACAAGTATCTCCTACGATGCAAAGATCGAATCAAAAACATTTACCCCAAAAATTTTTATACTCTACGAGAGACGTTATTTGAAAAACTGGATGGGTTCAATATTGAGTACACAAAAGAACAAACCTTATTCAAAAATGTCGCTATTTTTGACTTTGAATCAATTTGCGTGCCATCCGAAGAACTAAAACCAACCGAAACAATAACTTGGATCGGGAAGCATGAACCCATATCAGTGTCATTTTATCCAATTTGCTTGACAAATCCATTTTTTGTGTGACAAAGATCCACAAACCGAAATGCGATCAAAGTTTCTGGAAATTGAAAATAACATCAAAAAGCGACTACACACTATTTTCATTTACTTAATGAACGAGTTAGTTTCAACAAGATTGAAGCAAGAGAGTACGAAGATGAATGTATCGAGAATGAGGAAGAAACAGACGCATCCACTCACTTTCTCAGGATTCAAAAAAATCAATTGATTGATTTGATGCAACATCTAGAGAGATACACCAATACTCTACCAGTATTTGGATTCAACAGTGGTCGGTATGATATAAACCTCATTAAATCTTACCTCATTCCCTATCTTATCAACGAAAAAGAAATTGAACCTTCAGTTATCAAGAAAGCAAACGACTTTGTTACCTTCAAATTTGGAGATGTTCAGCTTCTGGACATTATGAAGTTCTTGGGTGGAGCCACTACCTTACTCTTTTCTAAAAGCTTACAAAGCCAGTGAGCTGAAAGGATACTTTCCATACGAGTAGTTTGATACTCCGAACAAGCTTGATGAACATCAACTACCCTCGTATGATGACTTCTACAGCAAACTGAAGAATAGTAACCCTCTTGACAAAGAGTTTGATGATTATCAAAAACTTCCTAACACTGGGATAACTGAAGAGCAAGCCTTGAAAAAACTCGGTCTCAGAACCCAACCATCTACAGAATTAGAAAACTACAACTACCTTAAATCTAGCTGGGAACAGGAAAAGATGACAACAATTTGCGACTTTCTACTGTGGTATAACAACAAAGATGTTGTTCCTACCGTTGATGCTATGCAGAAAATGATTGAATTTTATCATGACAAAGGGATAGATATGTTAAAGCTCGGCTGCACACTACCGAATCTAGCGAACATCTGTCAACACAAATCAACCGACTATAAGTTTTACTCATTCTTTTCGAGTGATAGTGACTTGCTTGAAAAAATACGGTAAGATATGACCGGTGGTCCTCCCTCGATTGTTCTCACAAGGAAAGCAGTAGCAAAAAATTTGTGTAAATCAAAAAATTTGTGTAAATCAATCGTTGGGATTGATGCTAGTCAACTCTATCCTTATTCTATGTGTCAGGATAATCCCACAGGTTTGTATACGAGATGGGACTACGATGAAGAAACACAGAAATTCAAGGCGAGGCAAAATCGAGTTCGAACATTTGAAAATATGGTCATGTCATACTTTCAAGCAACCAGACCTGAATGTTAAATTGAGAGTTACTACACTACAGGAAAACAAAAAAATTGATTGCTTTAGTGTTGATGGTTATTGCAACCACTGTAAGACTGTCTTTGAAGCAATGGGTTGTTATTTCCATTTTGTCCTTGTCAAGAAGATAGACCGAGCCTAACTGATGATGATATCAAACGAGGAACCAAGAAAAGAGAAATGTATGAGCTTCGAAAAGGTTACATTCGAGAAAAAGGATACTCTATAGAAGAAATGTGGGAGTGTAGCTGGTGGGATCAATTTAAAAACAAGGTAGACGTGAAAAATCACGTTAGAACTCACTTTCCCTTCAAAAGACCTATTTCTGCGAATTCACTAGTGCAAAACATTACTAATGAAAAACCGTTCGGCTATGTGCAATGCGATCTGAGTGTTCCAGATGAGCTTAAAGCAAAATTTTCCAATTTCTCACCTATTTTCAAAAATATTGATGTTTCCAGAAACGAAATTGGTGAATATATATGAAGACATATGCGGAAAAAAACGATTTGTTAAAACAATCGCAAAGAATGTTGATATCGAGCTTCAAATTGACCAGCGGAACACTGATCACACCACTTTTCAATTTTTACTTGGATCTAGGACTACAGTGTACAAAAATTCATCGTTTTGTACAATACACACCGCTCAAAGTATTCAACAGTTTTGTTCAATCTGTTGTTGATGCTAGGCGAGCCGGCGATGAAAATCCATTAGATGGCATAGTAGCCGAAACAATGAAACTTTTAGGAAACAGTTGCTACGGCTATCAAATAATGGACAGATCAAAACATACAATGACAAAATATCTTGGAGACAAAAAAACCCACAAAGCTATCAATAACCAATTCTTCAAGAGACATAATATCGTAGCTAAAGATTTGTATGAAGTGGAACTTGTTAAATCTAGTATAGAGCATCGTGAACCAATTATAGTAGGATTCTTTATACTACAGTATGCCAAGTTGAGAATGTTGGTGTTGTATTATAACTTTTTCGATAAATTTTGCGATGTCAATAAATTCGAAGAACTCGAAATGGATACAGATTCCCTCTATTTGGGTTTGACAGAAGAAGATTTAGATGATTGTATCCTTCCCAGCAAGCGAGCAGAATGGACTGAAAGGCAAAACAAGGACTGTCGAGACGACTTCAGAGCAGATGCAAAAAAAAAACTTTTCCCCGTACTTGCTGTTCTAAACATAAGAAACATGACAAGAGAGAACCAGGATTGTTCAAGGAGGAGTTCAGATGCACCGAAATGTTATGCCTGTGTAGTAAAACCTATTGCTGTTACGATAGTAAAAGTCAAAAGTATAAGTTTAGCAGTAAAGGTCTGAACAAACGTGCATTAGAAGACTCTGGAGATGGACCAATGGCAAAGTATCGACAAGTACTGGATGAGGCAGTGAATTTGAAGTCAACGAATAGAGGATTTAAAACGATTAACCATGCAGTCGCAACTTATGAACAAACTAAAAAAGGACTGAGCTATTTTTACCCTAAACGGGAAGTTGAATGTGATGGAATACATACTAAACCTCTAAATACTAAACGTAAACCTCTAAACCTCTTTGTATACGATGCTGTGAACTAATACATTTTCTCTGTAATTAACCTTTTTTTTGAAAAAACTCTTTTTAAACGCTACGTTTGGGTTAACAGTGTTGTTTTTTGATTAGGAAAACATTTACAATCTGGAAAATTGGCTAAATCGAGCTCCAAAAAACTCGGCTGCCAAAATTTTTTTGAAACTTACCATCTGAAACCTACCATCGTAATACATTAGAAATCCAATTCCCTAATGAGTTCCTAATTCCCTACAATGAATTTCTTATACATAGGGAAATCTTGTTTGCTCATATCAAGTTGCAACAATTTTTAAGTCTGATTACATCGTTGAAAGAAAAAAGAAACTTTAGGTTTGCTTTTTTATTAAACAACTGAAATAGCAAAATAGACAAAGTTAACAGTTTATTTTGTATAATTTACTTTTTAGTAAACTTTTTTTTAAGTCAGTAAAGCTTTATTTTTGTATGTTGAAAAAATCTTAGTAAATCAGTCAAAATATGTTGGTAACAAGTTTGCTCTTGCTTTCAAATGTTCTACAGCATTTTCTCCGAAATTTAAAAATTTTGTGTTTTATCACACCAAAAAATTTGATTATCTGCAAATCCCATAAACTTTTATGTAAATGTAGGGACCATCATTTCTGGACCAACTCCAGCATCAACGACCAGCTCGGCTACCAGACCCGATTCCCGATCCAAGGCCAAAACCCAAAAAGCGGAAGTACAAAAAGAAGAAGTTCAATCCCAAATTATCCCCGCTGTATGAAGCCACGTCAAGTGATGAAAACTTACCACAGCAGAAAACATAGAAGTAGATTTTTGATTTTGAGACAAAGCTTTCAAAAGAAACTATGACAATTAAAACTTTTTTTGCTTCTAATTTAGACAGTTTTAAGCGTCCACAATCGAGACTGGAAAAAAGCTCCAATATTTGAGGATTTTTAATATAAGGAGAAATTTTGAACTAGAAATCCACTTAGTTTAGAAATTGTGGGACTTAAAATACCTATGTGTTCAAATTAGCAGAATCCAACGTAATTCACAGAGAATCATAGCCGACCGAAGCGTTCAGGAGTAGACATCAAATTGAGCGCAGTGGTCTATATGTGCTCACGTTGTAAATGAATTTTCTGTTTCTTTCTACTGAAATAATTGACTGTCTGCACAGTGGCGTATTTAGGGGGGGGGGGGCAGACGCCCTCTTTTCAGGGATTCGACTCCCTGCCGACCCAAAGAGTCCCTCCCCCTTTGAACTATTTTGAGACATCCATATTTTGCTGACAGACCCCAAATTTTTTTTAAGGCGCCCATATATACTAAGTTTGAGGGGGGAGCGCGCGCCCAAAAAATGTCAAAAAAGCTCGGAAAATCAAATTGATTGGTCGACCTAAAAAAAGGTCGACAAATTTTCGAAAATATTTTGAAAATCCGCCCCCCTCGAGAAAATCCTAGATCTGCCCCTGTGTCTGCTCATTCATAATTTACGTGAATACAATTTTACGGTGGCGTCCCTCATGCTTGAAGGACCGAATGCTTGAAATTAATTTTAGCTTACTTTCAGCCAATCAGAGTTGAGTATTCAAAATCTAAAAATAAATCGCGAAAATCTCAAAGTAAGAAAATAAATCCAGGCCATTAGTGTTAATATTGACCGATTAGATAAAAAGCAGATGAGTTTTCAAAACTGAAAAATTATTATGAAATTGAAATCATAAATCTTGATGATTATCTGAATAGTAATGCGGTTGTAACCCGCAATTTGTAATGTTTTTGATTATTTTCCACTGATTTAATACATTGTCTGTTAATATTGACTTCGATATTGTGAGACAGGCATTTAGCCAATAGAAACGTTTAGCGATTTTGATTGGTTGAAATTTTTCAAGCATTCGGTCCTTCAAGCATGAGAACTCTCACCCCAAATTTACATATATTAATGAAAGGGGAGGGTTCTCATGCTTGAAGGACCGAATGCTTGAAAAGTTTCAACAAATCAAAATCGCTGAGCGTTCCTATTGGCTAAATGCCTTTCTCACAAAATCGAAGTCAATATTAACAGGAAATATTTTAAATCAGTGGAAATAATCAAAAATATTACAAATTGCGGTAACAACCGCAATACTATTCAGATAAACATCAAGATTTATGATTTCAAGTTCATTATAATTTTTCAGTTTTGAAAACTCATCTGCTTTTTATCTAATCGGTCAGTATCAACACTAATGGCCTTGATTTGTTTTCTTATTTTGAGATTTTCACGATTTACTTTGAGATTTTGAAAACTCAATTCTGATTGGCTGAAAGTAAGCTAAAATAAATTTCAAGCATGAGGGACGGGAGTGCGGCCAGTATTTAGACATCCGCGTATCCATACTGGTCAGTATTTAGACAAATAATGTATGAACCAATCAGAATCGAGAAAAAACATAAATAATCCAAAATAAATCATAATTATTTATTAATTTCTTCTTTGTCTCGATTCTGATTGGTTGAAACAGTATTTGTCTAAATACTGACCAGTCTGAATACGCGGTTGTCTAAATACTGACATGTAACCCTACAAGCTGTTTGCTTGGTTTTCATCTAAAATTTTGAACTGATTTAGTGTTTGAATTGTATAAATCATTGTCTTGTTTTGACTTCCTTGACGATTTGATTGTTGAGGCTGTGTGTGTTCTGATTCAGAAACCCAACTACCTGAATCATCTTAAAAATGCTCCATCCATCTTTTGAATTAACAATCTTTTTATAATTGGAACTATTTTAGGGTGGGTTCCGGACATCCGGCCGACTTCAAGTCGAATCATAAAAATAAGGTCTTCAAGATGAACTTTTTTTAGGAAGTAGTTTGGGGGTATTGTCTGCCCAAAGAACAATTTTTAAACATCTTGAACATCAAACTTCAGCACCATCTTCAACGGTCGTGTTCACAATTTTAAGTCGACTATTAAATAAGCCGAACTGGCAAAAGTATAGGAAGTTTGGTAATTTTTCAATTTCGTTTCAATTAAGCTGCAGAGTTTTATCCAGACCAGAAAAGAAAAACAAAAAATCGACCACCTTCACACAGGCGCGGGCTTAGGATTTTATCGAGGGGCTCGGATTTTCAAAAATAAAAAAAAATTTGACTTTTTTTTGGGTCGACCAAATTGATTTTTCGAGCTCTCCTTCAGAACTAGAAAGACCCTGTTTTGGCCTAAAATTTTGAAAAAACAGGTCCATAAAGAGCGTATTTATGCACCTTTGGAAAATTTTGACCAAAAAAATTGTGTTTTTTTTGGGCACCCTCCCTCCCAGAACTGGTAAATATTGGCGCCAAAAGAGCCTTTAGACATTTTTAAGGGGGTCCTTCACCAAAAACAGATACAAAATTCGGTAATCTTGGCGTAGGCAGGGGGTCGACCCCCTAAATCCGCCCCTGCCTTCACATCTGCCCTAAAGTTGGCCTGGTTTGAAATCGGGAAAAATAGAGAAATCGTGTTTTTATGAACCAAAGCAATCAGTGCGAACTGCTTTGTTCTCTGCAAAATAGAGATTATTGCAAAATTGAGAAATTTGGGCGGAACAATTAAAAAGTCGAATTCCAAGCGCTCAAAACATCATTAAATCTTTGTAAGTTTGTCAAAATTGCAACTAGTATATTTTAAATCATTGTAACCACATGCGGTGTTGAACTACAGGTTGAGAAACATTTTTGAATGGTATGACGATTTTATATATTTACTTAGCCACGGGAGATAGCAATAAATAGAGGGATATCTTTAACTATATTCCCTTTCTGCAAAAGTGCGGGGGATTCATTTTTAGGTACCCGAGGAAGAATACAGGTGAAAAGATCCGAGCAAAGCGAGTGTAATTTATGACTGCGAAGTTCAAGCAAGTTAGCTTAAAACAGAAGTCTGGATTAGATTGATATTTGTGATTTAGTAACGAATAGTTGAATTGTTTATATTTCTGAAATTTCTTAACATATAGCATTTTCAAAAAGTTTTCAGTTTAGAACATATGCCGCATTTTTTTGCACATAGTCAATCAATTTTTAAGATAACACTGAATTAGTTTTTTAAATGTGTGACCTTGTGTTAAGTGTTTTTGTTTTATTCGAAAAGGTGTCTAAATTATAATTTTGCCTGTAGCCTGTAATATTCAAATCTGGACCTAGGACAACAAGCCGACGGGACTTCAAGCCGAAGGAACTTCAGGCCGAAACTTAAACTTTACAAGCACCTCAAATCAATATTTTTTCATCTGTAAAACGTTGCTTTTCAAAATCTTACGCTAGTGTAGTCCATAATAAGCGTTATTTATGACAATGAATTACTCCCAGTCAGAAAATTGTTTGACACACTGTTACTGGTCCTTCACAAAATCTTCTGAAAGACTAAATGCACTTCGAACAAACAGAAAACTAACATGTTTCCAGAAAAAAATAAATTTAGAAAAGGTTACACAAATTTCAATCAATTTTTGTTTGTCCATAAGTTCATATATCATTTCTATGAAAAGATTACAACAACATGTTCTTATTTCTTTAACGGGAACATAAAAAGGTAGATGTCCCATAAAGAAATTTTTCTAAGATAATATAATATTAACAACACAGATTAAAATGCCTTATTTGAGATAATGCCCTATTTTTAGTCTAAATTTCTGATTCACCTCATCTCAAAAACGATATTATAGGTCAATTGTCTCAATGAAGTGGGCAGGAAAAAAACAGAAGTGAATTATGAAGCAAGATTGTTTATATTCGCACAAGAACTCAGCAGTGAGTCTATGAGAACATTTCTAACCATCATCAGCAGTAGAATCGAAACCAGTAAAATTTAGGCGCATTTTCTTGGAGTGAAAGATCTAAACTGTTAATGTATTCTCCAAATAATTAATTATCCGAGTAATAAAAAAAAACGTCCATCTCTGCATGTTCTTAAGCGGAGAAAAAAGATTTTGCCCCCAATTTCGTTTCCAAGTTTGCGGACCAAAAAAAGCTTTAACGCGCGCCGATATTGTGAATTTTTTTCTGATCCACTTTTTTTGATAAAAACTAAGATAATTTATCTATAATTCTATTTGCAATATTCCACTGGGAAATCTAAGTAACGGAATAATTGCTCAGGGTGGGTTTTTTCAGACAAATCTCGACTTTTTTACTGGTCGTTTTTGACGCAATTTTAAAAAATTCGAAAGTTATTGTTGTCCTGAGCTTGAATTTGAAAAGATATTTCACCTGTGATCATTTTTCGTAAAGTTATGGGGGTTTTAAGATTGCCATTTTGGCCAATTTGTGACAATTAACGCGCGATATATTTCGCGCTATTAACGCGTAAGCGAGATTTAATCCGTCTTAGAAATCGTTCCAAATTGGTTCAAGGAAGCTTATATGCCACAACTAATTTGTTAATAGGCGCAAAATCTATCACTTTGTACTTAATATGACGTGTGGGGGGATGTTTTTACATAAAATCTCACATTTTTTCAAAAAAATGTATTTTATATATTTTTAATTACTTTGAAATTTTTCATCTTATTAATGCTCCATAGACCTTAAAAGGCAGTCGGAACTTTCAGGGCTTCTTCCTGATACGAGCAGTCTTGATATTGTTGGGTCAAAAAATATTTGCTATGAGTTTCTGATTTGATGGACTTCTAATCATATGGTCGAAAGCAAACAATTAGTTTCTGATTGCTATTCTGGGGGTTGCGATAAAAGTGCTTAAGCCAAGTGCCGCGTACTTGCAAGATAAAGTTTTGCCCAAGGCAAACTGATTAGCACTAATTTCAACTATAACTTTTTTAATGTATAGTTGCAATTTAGAGGTTTGCGCAAGGCAGATTGATATGCGTTATCTTCTATCAAATTTTACCCATCGTTGAAATACAAAAATTTTGTAAGACAATATGAGCTGTAGTG